CCTCAGGCCTGGCAGCTTCGCCGGCAGGAGAATGCCGTTTGATGTGAGGGCTAGGGTGCTGAGGCCTGTGTATGCGGACAGGCAGGGGCAGGGGCAGAGGAAGGGACAGAGGCAGGGGTAGAGACAGAGGCAGGGGCAGAGGCAGGGGCAGAGACAGAGGCAGGGGCAGGGGCAGAGGCAGGGGCAGGGGCACAGGGAATGCATGGAGAGGGGTGGAACCTGGGCTCCACCAGGGTGTCTAGGCTAACGTTCAGATGGGTCAGCCCCGGCGCCCTCAGCGCGGGCAGCTTGGTGGGCAAGAGGATGCCGTTTGATGTGAGAGCCAGGGTGCTGAGACCTGTGGGGATAGGCAGGGGCAGAGGCAGGGGCGCAGGGAATGCATGGAGAGGAGGAGAGGCGGAACCTGGGCTCCATTTGAGTGTCTAGACTGACGTTCAGATGGGTCAGCCCCCCGCCTCCCTCGGCGCTGGCAGCTTGGTGGGCAGCAGGATGCCGTTTGATGTGAGCACTAGGGTGCTGAGCCCTGTGAGTGGGTTGCGGACAGGCAGGGGGAGAGGTGGGGTTAACGGGGATGCATGGAGAGAAAGGCGAAACCTGGCATACAGTGACTGGGTTTTGAGACGTCTCAAAACGGGAATGCATGGAGAGAAAGGCGAAACCTGGCATACAGTGACTGAGCAGACAGATGGCCATACATGGTGAGCAGGGCGGGCACGCAGGGGCAGAGGTGTGATAGTCCGCACCTGGCAGGGCGGAGAGCGAGCTGCAAATGTCCACAATGTCTCGCCTGACTGTGGGTTCGCTGCCTGTCAGCCTGATTTCTGTCCTCTGTTGAGTGCGCATTCATATCTTTTTGGTCGGCTAGAAAATCTTATGCATGTCCTCTGTTGAGTGCGCATTGATACCTGGCAGAGCGGAGAGCGACTGACAGATGTCCACAATGTCTCGTCGGACTGTGGGCTCGCCACCTGTGAGCCTGATCTTGGACACGCCTTGCGACACAAACACAGCCGCCAGGCGAATGACCTCGTCCGTTGAGAGCAGATGCCTGCATCCAGCAGCGCCAAGCAGGGGCGGGCGTAAGGGGTGGAGTTGAGAGGCAGCCGGGGGGAAGATGCAAGGAGGAACCGTTGGAAATCAGAAGGTATGCAGTTGGAAACCACATTGCTGACATACAGAGGTTTCGGTATGACATGTTGACACGGACGCATGTTCTCACCACATGCAACCTATGTCCGCTACAACCACACGCTCTTTCAGTGAGCTATAAACCATTGAAGGACCGCAGGTCGCACCGCCCACATGCACATGCAATGCACAGTCACTTCATTGACAAGCCATGTGCTGCTGCTACGGCCACACCTCATGGCAAGCAGCCTATATAATGCCTCACGATCACACCACTCACTCTTTCGCCGTCAGCTGCATGCCTTCGGCCCGCATGCAGTAGGAGCACTGTAGGCAGCGCTCCCCACTTACACATGCATTTGGGCTCACACACCCAGATTCTCACGATCACACCACTCACTCTTTCGGAGTGAGCTCCACCCCTTCAGCCGGCATGCAGTAGGAGCACCGCAGGTTGCACCTCTCTGTCAGCGAGATCCGCAGGTAGCTGTGCTGCCGCCCGAACGAGTCCGTCAACACGTCCGTCACCGCTTCCTCCCCAGCACTAGCACCGTCAGCCATGGCTAATCCCGCCTTCGGATATTCTATGCCAGATGGTCTGATTATGGTAGTAGAAGGATCAAAATTAATCACGCCTTCCCCTTGCGTAAATGTCGCCTTTTCCTCTCGCTCCACTCCTTCCCCCCGTTCCTTACGTTTCTCTCGGTAGCCTTCCTCCTCCCCTCGCTCCTCCTCCTCCTTCTCCTCCTCCGCGTCCATCCTGTCGTCCTCTTCTTCCCGCGCCGCCGTTGCAGCCGCGAGGCTCGCGGCGTACCGCTGCTGACGCGGCTGCTGCAGCTGGTGGGGCGGCTCGTCGTGCATCGACGAGTCGCGAACGCGGGAGGTCGAGAGAGAGTGATGGAACCGCGCCTCGAGAGACGGACGGTGAGGGAGACGATGAGTGGGACGATGAGATCGACGGTGGTGGTGCGACGCATGGGAGCAATCCAACGGCAAATGGGTGAGACGGGGAGATAAGGAACGGTCGGGCTGACATTTGCAGGCGAGGAGGAAGGGAGGGAGGGTCAGGCCTTGGGTAGAGGGGAGTTGGGGAGGCGCCTGCAGCACGATCGAGGTTCGCGAAGAAAGGATTGAGTATGCGTCGAGTTCACGGTCGCGTGACTTAGGAAGGAACTCCCTTGCCACGTTCGCATCACCGAACGGCAGTGCTGCGTTCACGGTCGCGTGAGTCAATGCGCGATTTGCTTGTGTGTCAGCTGTAATAGGTGGATCGGCTCCCTGCTCTCGAACATAGGTTTCGCCGAGGTCTTCGCGATACGATGCGCGATCGACGGCAGCAGGGAGGCTTCGCGACCGAAAGAGCCATTGCTCTAAGGATTGGCTGGCGTCATGCAACTCGCAGCGTCGCACGCTGCGAGCGACGTGCGGGAGGAGCAATCGGGAAAGGCATGCGACGGCATGGCGATACTGATGCGACGGCTGGCGATGCCAGCAGTTTGATATGGGCAACGAAGCAGGTAACATGGCCGATTGGGGGGCAGAGAACTACCTAGGTGGAGTCAATTTGTGCTACCTAATTGATCACAAGGATCAAGGCGAACAGAATGTCTTGCAGCAAGCAACACTATCAGGTTATCGAGTTATTCGCAGGCGAGAAGTTGCATGTGCATGGAAGAAGGAAATTGCAGGCCGTTCGAGCGACAACCTAGAGGTAGCTGCTAAATGCGCAGCGATACACAAGCAGCTGACGTAGTGCAGCATTACGAAACTACTTACGCTTTTGCTTGGTTTTGCGACAGCGAGAAACTGCTGCTACCGCAGTTGTGTCAGTCACAGCATGGCTAAGGAAGAGAGACTGATGACGTGAATCTGGACACAATATTGATACGAATCAGCCCATGATTTTGCACCCTCATGTACATGATCCCAAGGCCATCTGTGCTCTGACGGAGAAAAGGAAACAGCCAGCTGAGTGAGGAGCTGCAAACAAGGCCGCCCCTTGGCATGCAAGCCAAGGTGCTTTTGGCCCTGCTGATTGGCGAAAGGGCGCGAAATTGGAACATGTGAGTTGAGGTCTCAGCTGGAGCGAAGATATGTCTGGTAACCCTTTCGTCGGTGCCCAATTTACCCGTGCCGAAACTATTTGCGAGGTTGTACCAGACTGGTTGGCTCTTCGTGGGTTGTTTCGGACGGGTGCATGGTGAGTCAACTATTCTGACCAATGAGAACCGGTTGTGTGTGGGCGTGAAGGGCTGGGCCTGTCAGACACAGGACACGATGAGTCAGCTTCGGCGATTCAACCACGCAAGCTACACTGAACCTGGGTCAAAAGAAACCGTAGGCAGGGACGCTTGGACAGTAATGTAACGGGTAGTGTCAACAAGCAAGCACGCTTCTGTGAAAGACGAAACCGTACGGAAAGACTGGATAGTTGCTGCATGCATCGACCTGTGCCTCACGACCACGTGGACCAGCCCTGCTGTCAGGTGACTAACTCGAGCTTGTGATTGTACCGAAGACAGCGACACACCAAACCCAGGCATGAGCCGAATCACACATCCTCCTCCCCGTCCATCCCGCATATCATGGCTTCACACCTCAAATCACCCGCTCCGCCATGCACGCACAGCCCAGCCGCAGGCACTCGCTGCCGTGCATGCAATGCAGCCGTTGCTGTGGCGGCTGTCTCCCTCATTGGGAGAACTTGGGACTCGTTGCAACACGCAGGCGAATTCGCTTTTCGCAAGGCCATTCGGTGTGTGAATCAAGCACTCTCTGCCTGTCTACTCTTCGATTTTGGCAGAGTCTTCCAGTTTTTCCACAACACTCGAACGTTGCGTGCTCTTCGGGTTTCCAGATCCCTCAATCGTTCTTGAAGCTGCTTCGTCTTCCAGGTCTATAGTTAGGGGTCCGTTGCGTGTGGTCCGTGTTCATTCTCAGCCACGCACGTTGTCCTTCGGTAGCGACACAAGATATAGTTAACGGTGCGATTGGTAAGGCTCGTCCGCTCACGCCTTTCCTCCAGTGGAGAAGAATGAAGTTTGTCAAGAACCATGGAGGATTATCTAACGTGTAGCGCTTCATCTAACGGTCTCGACCGAGCTGACTCCGTCGAAGCGGCCTTCGAGATTCCCACAATCACGCTGTCGGCAGAGAACGTTGACGAAGAGTTTTCGCTACGACTCCATCACCAGAAGGATCAGGAAAGCGACATTGACGAACAGTTTTTTTTGGAGTGCGATAGTGAGCGCGAACAGATGGTGCTGGTTACCAAGAAAACGTCGCAAGTTAGGGTGGTGAACCTTGGGAATGACGACGATGGGCTTGGCCGCTTACCTGCAGTCACGAGCACATCGGGTGGTGAAAGGCAAGATCATCAAATTCAAGAAACGGGTGATATTGATTTAGTCAATATATCAGTTGGATGGTTTCGTGGGAGCATGCATCATGACGCTCTTGGAAGCGAGATCCGCGAAAAGAACAAGCTTGCAAATGGTCCTGCTGATCCTGGTAATCGTGATGGCCCTGCTTTTACCGCTGGTGATTCGCCAAAGCAGCTGCAAATGGATGCGCGAGTGAGCACGGAGCCCACTGAACGGCCTGGATTGCAACAGGCTCAAGAGCCTCTTCATGGTTCGATCTCAGCCGTCAGATCTCAGGCAACGGCTGCGATCTCATCTTTACGCCCGGCTCTACGGGCCGTGAGGAGGATATGGAGGAACAAAGAGGCAGCGGGAGGAGGGATTTCTGATGGGGATGCTTCCAAGACGAATGAAAATCAGAGCGGGTTGCATGGGAGGGAGGAAGGGGAGGGAGGTGGAGATGGGGAGGAAGATGAGGCGTTGGAGGGGGGTGATGTGGTTCTGAAGCCCATGAGTGCAGCAATGACCAACACGGTGAGTGCATGGAGCCATGAAGAACAGGGTAGCAGAGGAGGACGACTGAGTGACGTCCAGATGCCTGATTGGGCATGCCGACCTATTTTTCTATTATTTCCAAATGTTATCTTTGGTTGGGGGGGGGAAGGGAAGGGGTAGGGGAAAGGGGGTTGTCCTTTTCTATCTGCATAGCCCTGTATGTGGTAGGCAGCGATATCTGTAGCCACTGGACGTTGCTGCCATCGGTGCACCTTGTACCAGGCTAATCATGTCTTCAGTTCTGCTCTCTTCCTTTGCTGCCACCCGTTCTCTGCACGCTGCACAGGTATACGAGTGTGTGTGGGTGCCAACCAGGAAGAACGAGCCAAGGGGGAGCAAGGCCAAGAATTCAAAGGAGGAGGAGGAGGATTATTCAGGAGAGAAGCGGGTGTTGGTGCGGCTGTATGGCCCAGCGACAACAATGCTGTTTCAGAGGGAGCACGAGGAGACAGTCACCCGAGCCATGTCCGAGCTTGGCTTGGGACCGAAGCTGCTGGCCTCGTTCGGCACAGGCAGGGTGGAGGAGTTTCTGCAAGCCAAGGTGGGTGAGATGTAACCTTTACTAACCTTGAGATTGCCTTTTATACCATTGAAGTTGCCTCTGAATAGCCTATATTGCCCTTGAAGATTGCCTTTACTAGTCTTTGATACCCTTGAGATTGCATTTGGCAGCCTTCATTAATGTTGAGATTTTATATTGATATTGAGATGGGTGTATAGCTTGTAGAAAGCCTATGAATAACATGTACAGTTTTTTTTTTCTTTTGCTGTGCTTAGTTTACTCCAACCTACAGTACCTAAGCATGCAAGATCTATTCACTGCTCATTCTTCCCCAACACCCAGCCGCGGACAGCAGAGGAGATGCGGCAGCCGGAGACATCTCGGCAGATCGCACGGTGCATGAGGCGCATCCACTCGCTGCAGCTCACCTGGGGGGAGGCCGTCTCGTCCATAGGTCAAGTGTGCTAGAGGCCTTGGAGAAACGAACCATGGTCAACGTGTCCTCCCACCCGCCTCGCCCCTCCCTGCCCTCCCAACACCCAGCCACTGACAGCAGAGGAGATGCGGCAACCCGAGACATCTCGGCAGATTGCACGGCGTATGAGGCACTTCCACTCGCTGCAACTCCCAGACACCACACCTGGGGAGGTCGCCTCCTGCCTGTGGTCTCGTCTTCGGTAGGTCATCATCATTCACTTGTGCCGGTGCACTCACTTGTGCGGTAGGTCATGCACTTGCAACGGCTTTTGAGGGTCCCAAAGTGCCAAGCCATTTTGGGGCTTTTCTCAAATAATCACCCCCCAAGCACTGTACCCGAGAAGGTCGTCACTTGCCTTTCCCTGGCTGTCCCTGGCGCAGCTGCCGCATCCCTGGGGGGCGTGCGTGCACGGGCCCACCCCACCCCAATGTACCTTCTCTCTTTTCTCCCAAATCCGCCCTTTCTTTTACCTCAGGCGCTGGCTGTCCTTGGCGCAGTTACTGCACCCCTGGGGCGTGCACGGGGCGAACCCGAGACAGGTGGGGGAGAAGATTCACAGGCTGGAGGCAGCAGCAGGCAGGCGATGGGGGGAGGGGCTGGGGAAGCAGGAGAGGGGGGGAGAAGCGGAAGTGGCGGACAGGGAAGGCGAGGTGGTGGCGGATGGGGGGAGTGAGGGGGAGGGGAGTGGGCGGTGGGTGGGGCTGTGTCACATGGATGTGCAACACGGGAACATACTGCAGGAGAGAGGCACGGGGCGGATTGTACTCATTGTAAGCAGCTCTGGTTTCTCGTTGTAGTTTCGTGTGCTTCTTTGCGCACGTGGCGTGTGACGTTGCCAACCACTTTTCCTTTCTGCATCCTCCCTTGCTCCCTCCTGCCCCATTCCGTCCCGCCGCCCCGCCCCTCCCCCATCTACCACCATCTCAGGACTATAGTGGCTACACGCACGTGGTGTGTGACCTTGCCAACCGCTTTTCCTTTCTGCATCCTCCGTCCCTCGCTCCTGTCTCGTTCCTTCCTGTCACCCCCCCTCCCTCGCCCACCTGCTCAGGACTACGAGTACAGTGGCTATGCACACGTGGCGTGTGACATTGCCAACCACTTCTGTGAAATGGCAGCTGACTATGACCGCCCGCACCCACACCTCCTCGACTACACCAAGTACCCTTGTAAGCTGTCCCCATAAGATCCTCTGCCCGGTATTAAAGCTCCCTCTGTGCCACCCCACAACGACTGCTCTCACCCACCCCGCCTGGACTACAGTAGGTACCCCTGGAAATTCTTTTCGTTGGTTTTTTTTATGAGCTGTTTTTGGGAGATGTTTCGCAAAGCTGTTCCTGTAACCTGGAAAATTGTCAGCATTGCATGTCAGCATCGCCGCCACCAACCACGTGTAGAAATGAAGAATCCTTGCTCGAGTGCCTGAGTCATTTTCTCCCCACTCTCACACCACACCACGCAACACCACACCACACCAAATTACACCACGCCCACACTCGCCGCCCCACTCGTCCTCTTTTCAGCTGTGGATGAGCAACGGTGGTTCATCAACTGCTACCTTGCTGCCTCTCCTGTTGATGCATGTTCGAGCGCCAGTGAAAGCAGCACCAGTCGAAGGGGTGTCCCCCTTACAAGCAGCCTCGATGAAAGTGATGCTGAGGAGCTGATGCAAGCAGTGGATGTGTTTCTTCCTGTGTGCCATCTGCATTGGTTCCTGTGGGGCATTATTTCAGTAAGTTATTGTTTTTGGGGAACACCCCATGAATCATGATGTTGGATAGCACTTCCTTAGCTGGTTTTACACATGAGTTCACCTTTATGTTCCACTGTTCCTGTTGTCTTTGGTTTATGTACAGGCCGCAGTGTCAGATGCAGGGTTTGACTACATGTCATATGCACAGCAACGCTTGGTTGAGTTTCAGAACTGCATGGGCCGGTTGGAAACTACTTGCATTGTGTAGAATTTGCTGAAAATAACTTGTGTTGAGTAGTTGTATATTTGTACAGGTTGCCCCCATACCCAATTAGAGCATAGTGTCAAGAACGGAATGATGATTTTACTAAGGTTGGTTGGGGTACATAAACCTAACCCTAACTGTTGTACCCCATATGACACACATCACTAAGACTATAACGTCTGACACACCTCCATAGCCAAAGTGAGGGGTGTCAAGCAAAACCAACAACGTACGGTCACAAGACAGTCACAAAGCAACAAAGCTCAGGGTGAATCACAATGTCACCACACACTCTGAGCACAAGCAAAAGAGCCACAAAGTCAGTTCAAGAGTTCACAGAGGCATATATAAAGCGTACAAACATAGCAAACAGAGAACTCTGTCAGAATCAACTGTGCAAGAATGAGTGCATTGAGATGAAAGTGCAATACAAATAGTCCTAACCCTAGTTTGTTGTACCCCTTGTAGGCTAACCCACTATAGCCTAGAGATAACACAAACATATAGTTTGACACACCCCCATAGGCTAAGTGGGAGATAGAAAACACAACAGACGGTCACAAGACCAGTCAAGAAAGAGAATAAGCAAAGCAAAGCTCAAGGTGGATCTCAAGGACACCACACAATCTGAGCACAAGCAAGCGGCCACAAGGCCAGTTCACAAGCAGAGTTATAATAGCAAGGCAGTACACTGATCACAACCTAGCAAGAGAAAACAAGCAGGTATAAAGATAGATATCAGTGTACAACAAGAGCAAGTCAAGCAACGAGCAGGTGAGGCAGAGTGGGCACAAGCCCAAGACAGTGCAGAAACGCTGATGATCACCAGACCCAAGGGCCTTGGTGAACATATCAGCAGTGTTGGCCCGAGAAGCCACGTAAGCAAGGCGCAGCTGCCCACGCTGCTGCAGCTCACGCGCAAGGAAGTAGCGAAGAGCAATGTGCTTCGTTCTGTGCTCCAGTCTCTGCTCGCGACACAAGGCAAGCATTGCCTTGTTGTCGACGTACAGAACTGGAGGAGAACGTGGCCGCTCCCCCAAGTTGGTCAGCAGGTAGGTCAGCTAGCGTAGCTCCTGTGCAGCCATGGCCCCAGCGTAGATCTCGGCCTCGCAGCTGGAGCCAAGCACAGAAGAAGAACGAGTGGACCTCCACGAGACAGAACCAGAGCCAAGACTGAAGGTGTAACCCTGTGACGAACTCTGAGTCACCAGGTCGTCGGCCCAAGAAGCGTCAGAGTGTCCTGTGAGGACCACTGAACCCCGTCCTCCAAGCACGAGCCCCATGCCCGATGTACTGCACAAGTGACGCAGTACCCTCTTCGCAGCATCAAAGTGCACCTTTCGGTGCCTACCGGGTGCCACGTAGCGAGCCAGGAGGCTGAGAGGGTACGTGAGGTCAGGTCGTGTGCACGTCATCAGGTACATGAGGCAACCCACAAGCTCTGGGTACGGACCACTCGGATCTACGGACTCGTCCGAAGGTGGAGCTGAGAGCGAGTGACCGGTAAACAGAGGAGTGGGCTGTGGCGAGGAGTACTGGAAGACGAAGCGCTGAAGGACCTGGTGCACCATGTGTGACTCAGTCAGGGTGATGGTGCGCCGTGCTCTGTCCCGGGTGATCTGCAAGCCAAGATAGCTCCGCAGCTCACCCAGGTCAGTGCAGGTGTCTCTCTCCTGCAGCTCCGCCTTCACCAGGGGCAGTGCCTCAGTGTCAGCTGTAGCAAAGACCAAGTCGTTGACGTACACAAGGATGTAGAACGCCGGCAGGGTAGTGTCAGTGCGCAGAAACAGCGACAGGTCAGCTGTCGAGGGAGCAAAACCAAGAGCCGCAAGTGTCGTCCTCAGTGTGTCGTGCCACTCACGGGGCGCCTGACGCAGGCCGTACACTGGTCGCCGTAGGCTCCACTGGGTACCCTCAGGAAACGACCCAGTGAAGCCCTCTGGACGGCGCAGCCAGATGGCCTCGTGAAGGCTACCCTGCAAGAAAGCTGTCGAGAAGTCGAGGGAGTGCAGCTCGTAGTCACGCTGAGCTGCAACGTGTAGCAACACCCGACGAGTGGTCATCTTCGGGGTGGGGGAGAAGGTCTGAAAGAAGTCGACCCCCTCACGCTGACTGAAGCCTCGAGCAACGTAACGTGCCTTGAAGGCAGGCGGAGAACCCGGCGGCCGCTTCACCCTGAAAATCCACATGCCACTGGCAATGTTCGCCCCAGGTGGGGGAACCTCGTCGACGTACGTGCCTGTGCACTTCCATGAAGCCATCTTTGCGTCCATGGCTGTCTGCCACTGAGAGGAGCACTCACCCGAGATCGCCTCTCTGTAAGAGCGCGGGGTGGGGATGTCAAGTGCATCCGTGTCTCCCTCAGGGGCAAGCAGCATGGTCGCGAGATGAGGTGCAGCGGCCGCAAGACACTCTAGCTCCTCCTGTCTGTCCTCAAGAACGTCACAGCCAAGGGCAACCTCACCCCCGACGGACGGAGGACAGGCAGGGTCAGGGTCAGAAACAAGACTCGCAAGGTAGTCTAGGCGGTGCGCAGCAGCAAAGTCAACTAGCTCAGCGACTAAGGCAGACGCAGCAGGAGACGAGAACGTAGGGTCCGTCACAGTTGTAGCAAGCAAGCGAGTGATAATCGGACTGGAAGCACGAGCAAGGTCAGACGGAGGGTCAGCAACGTCAGGAAGAGAAGACGCATGAGGTGACGGTAGGACAACATGCTGTGGAACAGAGGAAGGACGGAGTGTCATATCGTGAGTGCCTGGGACAGCCGGAGCACGAGGACGACGCACACGACGAACACGAGCAGGAACGGAAGCTCTAGTCTCAGGCTCTCGACGTTCAGGAGTGGAAGCACGAGTCTCAGGCTCTCGACGCTTGGTCAGGGACTCTATCACAACAGCGTAAGGAGCAGGAGCAGGCAGTGGGGAGTGAGGCAGTAGCTGTGGGAATAGTAACGCAGGAGTAGTACCAGCGACTGGGAACTGAGTAGGAGCTGGCGGAAGACCGAGAAGGTGGCGAAGCGCACCAGGAGGTCCAGCACCTCCAGTACTAGCAGTACCTCTAGCACTAGCAGCTCCAACACCTCCAGCACCTCTAGCACCAGCAGCACCTCCAGCACTAGCAGCTCCAGTACCTCCAGAACCAGCAGCACCTCCAGCACCTCCAGTACCTCCAGCACCTCCAGCACCTCCAGCACCAGCAGCACCTCCAGCACTAGCAGCTCCAGTACCTCCAGCACCAGCAGCAGCTCTAGTACCTCCAGCACCAGCAGCACCTCCAGTACCTCCAGGCCGAGCAGCTCCAGTACCTCCAGCACCAGCAGCACATCTAGTACTAGCAGCTCCAGTACCTCCAGCACCAGCAGCAGCTCCAGTACCTCCAGCACCAGCAGCACCTCCAGTACCTCCAGGCCGAGCAGCTCCAGTACCTCCAGCACCAGCAGCACCTCTAGTACCTCCAACACCAGCAGCACCTCCAGCACCTCCAGCAGTACCTCCAGCACCTCCAGCACCAGCAGTACCTCCAGGACTAGTAGCTCCAGCACCAGCAAGGCCGTACCCTCCACCACCAGGACTGCCTCGCCGAACGATCCATGCACGAATCGCCTGCGGCGAGAGCGTCTCAAGTAGATCAGGCTGCGTTGGCTGTCCAGCTCCAGCACCTCCAGCAGTGGTAGCTCTAGCACCTCCAGCACCAGCAGCACCTCCAGCACTAGCAGCTCCAGCACCTCCAGCACCAGCAGCACCTCCAGCACTAGCAGCTCCAGTACCTACAGCACCAGTAGCACCTCCAGCACCTCCAGCACCAGCAGCACCTCCAGCACTAGCAGCTCCAGTACCTTCAGCACCAGCAGCAGCTCCAGTGCCTCCAGCACCTCCAGAACCTCCTGTACGTCCAGGACTAGCACCTCCAGCACCAGCAGTACCTCCAGGACTAGTAGCTCTAGCACCAGCAGGACCGTACCCTCCACCACCAGGACTGCCTCGCCGAACGATCCACGCACGAATCGCCTGCGGCGAGAGCGTCTCAAGTAGATCAGGCTGCGGTGGCTGTCCAGCTCCAGGACCTCCAACAGGGTCACCCACAGCTCCACCGCCACTAGGACTCGCAGCACCCCCAGAGTCAGCACCCCCAGTCGCAGCACCCCCAGAACCCTCACCCTCTGTCTCAGCACCCCCAGGCTCAGCACCAGCAGTCTCAGCTCCAGAGTCCACAGCAACAAGCTGCGGAG